GTTTAGTTGGAGCGGAATAGGCGCACCTTTTTAGAGGTTCTCATGGTGTCTCTTGGTTAGAGAATCATCTTCTTGTAGTTATGTATAGTTGGTTGGAGGGGAAGGTTGACTCGTATTGATTTGTCTTTTTAGATTTTTTAGATGTGATTGGTTTGCGCTTATTTTTTGTTTTCACCTATTGGGAAGGCCGTCTTGTATTTGTTGCATCATCTTGATGCTTTCTTACTAATAGTTGTTTATTTATCCAAAAAAAAAAAAAGCTAAGAAATCAAATCATCCACAAAATCTACAAAAGCCAAAACATCTTGATCAACCAAATCCGTAACCCAAGGGCCATTTTGGGAAGTAGCTTATTAGCCATCTTATTGACTTATTGGCTTATTAAGGTCACATCACCTCTACATTATGCACATTTTTTTGTAATAAGCCAATATGTTAGCTTATAAACCACATAGAAACTTGACAAAACACAACCTACTGGTAACATCAAATAAATGTTTAATAATAGTACTAATATTATGAAACATCAAGTTTATAGTCTTGAATCATACTAATATTTTAATTGTTAAATAAATAAATAAAATAAAAAATACTTCAAAAACCATACCTAGTTGATAAGAATTTTATTCAAGAACCATCTTGGGACTAAAAAAAAAAAAAAACTGTGATGTCAACACTTGGAAGGTTGTTGAACCTCTTTTAAATTTTTTTTAAAAAAATAGTACTTTAGTGACAAAATAAAAAATTTAGCATCTCACCAAAAAAGAAGGAAAAAAAATAAGCATTTCTGTGAGAAAAAGACATTACCGAAAAGAAGAATATATCAAAACAACATAGCGAATGACCTGTGCCTAATGGCACTCCCCAATGAAAACGAAGCGTATTCCTAAATTATCAACATCTAATATGTTTTTATACTCACTGTTAGCCTCGCACTCCCATTTTAATCCTCAAACAGTCGTCAAAGATGTAATTTTCCCAAGAAAATCAAATTAAGGATATTAATGCAAAAAAGTTCACTCTAAGTATTCACCCAAAAAAAGTTCACTCTAAATGGTTAACAACAAAGTCCAAAACAAAGAATAAAAAAATAAATAGAACAAAGAAAAAAAGAAAAGAAAAGAAAAGCAAGCAGACAAATACAAATCTGAATAAAGGAGCTTTCATATGATCTAAACAACAATGCTAGGAATACAGATGTTTAAAATCAAATCCAAAATAGAATTGTGAACAAATACCAAATAATCAAATTAGAAAACAAAGACACCTAAGGATCTCATCACAGCTTGAGTTGAAGATCAGTGTGTTTGGTTTCAGTTTTCTGAATTCAATTTTTTGAAAATTGAGTTTTTTGTTTTTTGTGTTTTTAGTGAATATTTTTAAAATTTTAAGTAATTTTTTTACTTTTTTAGATGCATTTTACTTGGATGTATTTAAATAGTAAAAAATTTGTGAAAAAATATTTAAAAAATTAATAAATACACAAAAATATGAAAATATATTAAATTTTCGTAATTTTTTGGTATTTAGTGTATTTTTTAAAGATTTTTTTCACGAATATTATACTTTTTAAGTGTGTTTATGTTAGGTGTATCTAAAAATTAAAAAAAAATTGCTTAAAATGTTATAAAAACTCATTGAAAACGTTAAAATACAAAAAATAAAAAGTATTTTCTGAAAACTGGAACCAAACAAGCTGATTGTTTGTAGAGATCTATTAATTGGCATAATGGGAAAAGGACAAACCAAAAAAGGAAAAGCTTATTTTGTAATGAAAGAGGCACAAAAATAGTGAAAGCAAAAATTAGAAAACCTGGACAACAAAAATTGGACTTTGATGATGCGGTGGGTAGGAGGAAGGGGCAAAGCTGAGGAAGGGTTGAGAGATATCTAGAATTTGAGATGGGTGAGGTGTTAAAAAATAGACCATTGGATTAAATTAATCTGGGCCATCCAAATTGCCACATAGGACAAATACATTTTCAAAATTAGTCTTGAAAATGGACCGTGGATGAAAGGGAGAAGCAATACTAGTTGTTGGATCCAATACTATCCTTCCGTGTTATATAGACTTTTCTCTAAACTAAATATTTGATTTTTTTCAAATTTATTCCCCCATTGCATTGCCACCACCTTCTTTGTCTTTCCCTCCCCTACCGCACACCCTCTCTGCCTCACCAACAACTTACCAAATCCATTAAGATAGAAATTCAATAAAATCAAAGTACACCAGATAATGTGCTAAAGAAATTTAAAAGCGCATCAACTAATAAAAAATCAAAAACATCAAAATCAACAACCAACAGAAATAATGATTGATTAAGCATAATATGAAAAGTAGATGCCAATGCATATCTTCAATTATTTGGATAATCTTGTAAAAACATAATCAGAGTTACTTCAATTATTTCCTGTAGAGTAAAACAAAAGATCATCTAGAGGGGATTCCATTCTAGAAAACCATGTCCAACAAATTTTGAATGTGAAAATGCAAAGCAATAAAATGTATTGCTAATTACTGAGAAGTTGTCATTTAAATGTGCAGGAAATATTGTGATGTAGGCTTTGGAATTATTGACTGAAATAACAAAATGTATAGTTAGAAAATATTGTGAAGTAGGCTTGGAAATTTTTGACGGAAATAACAAAAAGTGTAGTTAGGAAATAAACAACGGTACTGGAGTTACTAAAATGATTGCGAATCACTTCGGCCATATGAGTCCTCTTCTTGTTTAATGCTTTTAAAATTACATGAACCACAAATATACAAACAGATTTCATGAGTATTCAAATGATAAAAAAAAATATATAGCAAAAAAAAAAATGAATCACGTAAAAAATATTCTTACAAATATTGAATGTATTAGAAACCCCAAAAATTGTTGACCTTTAGCAACAAGAAATCAAATTCAGAAATTGATTTGGAAAAAATCCAAAAAATCATGAATCACATAAAATATATTCTTACAAATGGTGATTATATTAGAAACACCAAAAATTGTTAATCTTTAGCGAGAAGAAATCAAATTTCAGGAATTGATTTAGAAAAAATTCATACCTAATTTTCATGCCTTTGACATAGCTTCACCATTCTACGACCGAAGAATCGAGGGACATTACAAATTCTCTTGTAATACAAATTAAATAAGAAAAATAGATAAAAAATTATATCAGTGATGGGAATGGTTAAAAAAAAATACAAACAAATTTCATGAATCACGTAAAAATATTCAAAAATATACAAACAATAATACTACAGAGAACAAAATTTGTGCTTGAGAGAGAAGCGGGAGTGAGTTAGGGATGGGGAAGGGGGAGTTGGAGCTTTTGGGGGGAGATCGAGCAAGGTTAGAGTAGATCGGCAAAGTTGGGAAGAGGGGGGGTTAGCACTTCATTCTAAAGCCAACTCACCATAGGAGGTGATTAGCAGTTACTATGAGAATAAATACATTATTGGATTGTTCATGAATCAAGAGGGTTGGACTGTATGATATGCTTCAAAAATAGGATTTCAGTTTGAGGTGGTTGCTGATTTTGCAAATGAGAGGGGAAAAAAAACAGTGGAGAAAGTAGAAGAATTATCCCTCTACTAAGGCCAAGTTTGGCATATGATAAATAATCCATCTTTTTATCTTTTTTTCATCACATCACCTCTCTACTTTTCTGCACATCTTTTTGTAAAAAGACAAAAAGTACACTTATTTAGGTCATCCCAAACAACCCCTAAAAAATATACAAAATATAGACCTAAATTATACATATTATTTTGAATTTGGATGATAATGTTGGACTCAAAAAACCAATCTCAACCGTTCTTTGACCCAATTACAAATGGATATGGTCATGGCTGTACAAATTCTCTCTCAAACAACATACAAAAAGAAAGAAATTACATAGTATATTCAATTCAAACACACACACAGTCAATTCTATCAAGGCTTTAATGGTCTTCAAAATCAAAGAATCATGGAATTGTTGATAAAATGTTACTATTTGTCAATAAAAAAATAAAGTGTTAAATGAATCAATGTAGAATTAAATTGATTAAAAAAAAAAAAAATTAATGTGAGCCTACCGAATTTTTAGGCATTGAGAACACATAAATGTAATTAAATACCAACCACAATGTTTGGATGCAAAAGATTCTCAAGAAGTTTAACTTTTTTCTCAAGCTCTTTAATGTGAGCCTATTAAGCAAATTGAAAGCAATGCTTCAGATAAGATTTGTAAGAATCAATCACATAAATGTAATTAAAGCAATTAAATTAGACATCAACAAAACATGTGGCTTTTACTACAATTGAAACCTTCATAGAAACATACCAATGACAACAAAATGAAAGCTATAAAATAGATAGATAAATAAATAAATAAATCAGTACAAAAAACAATTGAAAAATTTAACAATTTTTATTTATTTATTTTTATAAAAAATTTCCCAATCTTCTTAAATACAAATGAATGATTTACCATTGCAATTCACTTATTTCAGTTCAATAATTTAGAATAATAATTGAAAATTATTTACACAGATGTAGAGAGATTAGGGGTTCGTGATGGGGAATACCCACCACATATGTTGTCTGGACTCGGGATTCCGATCTGTTCTCAGTCCACCATGCTCCCTTTAACCACTTAAGTCATCGAAATAAACCACTCACACCCATCAATCGCCTGCTAGAATGAGGCTGTGACTGTTGCACAAGGAGGGGTTGAGGTTTGTGAGGGTGAGAGAGTGAGAGAGAGAGAGAGAATAGCGTCTTCAAGAAATATGTTTGAAATTTGAAATCTGAAAAACAGAGGGTGAGAGAAATGTGATCTCTGCCTTTGATTTGTATGCCCTTGAAGTGTGGTCTCAGCCCTTGATTTGTATGCCACATAGACATATGTCCCATCAACTCCCTTGTGTTGTTATATAGATGTATTCAATTCCAGTTTTACTTGCTAATTATACAACTGTTAACAAAAGTACAACAAACTTTTATGTATTATATTTGCAGTGGGAAGGAGAGAGTAAAGGAGTTGATGGGCTTGAACTAATTTTTTTCTTTGGTTGTGGCTTGATGTACCTTCTCAGTTTGCACACTTTGAGGTTAGTTGGCATTCTTTAAAGTAGCTTCTCAGCTCCACTTGTTAACAAAGAAGGATTTTTGCAACTCCATCTGTTTCGGTTGATTAAGATAGATTGCATCTCCTGTGCCAGATAAATTGGGATATATTTTTGTGCAGTAGATATATAGCTAAGGTGGTTCAAAATTTGGATTGAATGTCAATTTATTCATTGAAAGAGGGTCTAGTTCTATGGTTGTTAACATTTGACCGCCCAAATTGAAGTATCTGATGAAAGTCCTTGCGTGAAGTCCAGGTGCATGCACCTTTTTGTAGCAGCCCAGGCTTGAAGAAGACGACATTGGGGTCCCGCAGAGTACATAACGAATGTATTATTTGTTATTTTGAAGAGAATTCACATGTTCCTTCGTTCATTTTGAAGAAATAAAGAACCAATGCAGAACTATCCTATTGTTTCCATTGATACATCTTGTTTAATTTTTCCCCTTTCTAAACATTAACTTGCAGTTTGATTAATTTCCATATAGTTTTACATTCTTTTAAAGTCATTTGACTTCGGATGTTTCATTGTATTTTAGATAGTTGTACACAGAACTGCTCTACAGTGTACTTCAATTGTTGTTTGGTTTGGGAGTACTTCAGATATTTGAACCTTTCTTGAGAAGGTATTGGAAGATTAATTGCAAGTAGTTTTAATTTTAGTTTTTGGTTCTATTTTTAATGGGAAAAATCAGATAAATGAGAAATTAGAAAATTAATTGTGAACTGTAGAAAAGTTTTCATTGATTTGAAATTAATTTTCCCATCTGTTATATATTTGATGTTTTTTCTTTTCAATTTCTTAAACTTTCAACTTTCTATTTATGGTTGTTATTTGATTTTTTGTCCCCCCACCCCAAAAAAATTTATTGACTTTCTAGTAACTATTTTGAAAAATACTTTTCAAAACTAACTAGGAATATGGGTTTCTTATTTTATTTTTTTATTTTAATCTTTTTGGTTTGTTTTGTTTTTTTATTACAATTATATAAAGATCCTACTTTTTATGGTTTTCCGTCAATAACACATTTTTCTAATTTCTCAACCTATGAAGAGTTTTTACAAATATTTTGAAATTCGGACAGTTAGCCAAATGGAAAAAGGGATTGGGTCAACGGTTAATTGGAATGGGTTAGACTTTTCTCAAGTTGTCATTTTAATTTGAGAGTGCTTGGACTTGATAAGTTCATTTTGAGACATTTGTAATTATATGTTTGAATCATTAATATAATTTTAAAAATAGTTATTTATTTTTTGTAATACAAATGTGATTCAATAGTTATTGATGTCTGATGATTTTTGAATATTTTATTTAACGAGTCTATGAAGTGAACTATTCGAATCACTGAAATCGATCTTAAAATGGATATATTAAATCTAAATATTTTTTCAATTTAAGATTGTCAACATAAGAGAAGTCCAACTCAATTATAATAACGCCATAATCATTGAAAAAACTGTAACATAAGTTATATGAAACAGGAAATAACATGAATTGTTTTGGAAAAACAAAAAATGTTTTTAGATTATGTGTGTGGATAGGTAATAGGACACAAACAATATTGAAACCGAGCAGAAACTTATACTTATACGAAACGAAAACATATAATTATAGAAATTGTAAACAATTAGAGATTGGCTAACAACTTACATATGTATGTATTCAGTTCCTAATGGTTCATTTGTTTAGCAGAGTAGGGATAGAAAGTAAAGATTGGCTAACAACTTACATATGTATGTGAACTTCTCTGCTTTCTGCAAAGAAAAAAAAGAGGAAAATTCAAACTTCTATATATTGTATCTATTCTAGGCCCGTTAAATTTTTCCAAACTCTTCTTTTTCCCTAGAAACAAGTATAGTTTGTATGTTTTATAATGATCTAAATTTATGTGAAATTGAAACCAGTTAAGCAAGTTATTTTTGTTTAAATGGGTAAGGTTAATTTAGGAAAATACAAAAAAATTATCGTGATTTTTAGAGTATCCAAACTATAGAATGATTATGTGTTTGGTTCCCGTTTTCCAAACTTGTTTTTTTAGAAAATTTTGAAGCCTTTGTTTGGTCAAGTCCAAAAATCAGAAAAAGTTTACCAAACCAAATTTTCCGGATGCACACTTGGGAAACAGAGATGATTTGATGTGACTTCTTTGTTTTTGTTTTTACTTTTTGATGTGATTTGTTCTCTTTTGTTTTGGTTTTTTTTTTTTTTTGGGATTTTTGTTTTTGGTATTGCTGAATGATCCTAGTAAGTTGACCGAAAGTCCAATATGACAGTATTTTGAATTTTACGCTGACCCAATATTCAATGTGGAGGGATTTTGAATTTAATTTACAAAATTCAAAAAGTGAAACCAAACAATGGTCATGTTTTCAAAAACACTTTTCAAACAAAATTCAAAAATATTTTTGTATTTGATACTGCAAAAGTTTGTAAGTGAGTTAATTTGTTTATGCCAATTTGTGATTAAATTACGTATTTTATGGTTGATGTCACAAAATTTTATGATAAAATCACAAATTTAATGGTAAGGTATGCACCATAAAAGGGTACATCCTAAATTATTTTTGATACATAATAAACATAGTAGTACTTTTGATGTGACAATAATGTTTTTTAATTTATTGTTGAATACATCATTTAGGCTGCCCTCTCTCTCTCTATGTGTGGAGGAAAATTTGAATTTCTTTGCAATAGTCAAAATTTTGGAAACCAAACACATATCTATTTTCAAAACATAGTTTTCAAATCACTTTTTTTAAAAATAACTCAAAAAACTAAAACCAAACATAGTCCCCAAAATTTTTTTGCAAATTTTTTATCCTAATCAAAGCATGCAAGAAAATATATTTTATTTTCCTTTTCCTTTCACTTTCTAACATTTTTTTGGTGTTTCTAATCAATTGGACCAAAGATCTATCATTGACCCCCCATATCTCCACTGCCTCCAACCCTACTCTCGACCCTAGACTCCTTGAAACCAGTTGAAAAAATCCTAACCTGAAAAAGTGAAAAAAAATGGAACCAAGTACAAAATGAGAGGGAGAAAATGGCTGTTTGGAGGCAATCAGAGTTGCTGATCCACCATTATGGAGAAGCTGGATTAATCCTTTGTGTTTATCTGCAGTTTTGACTTGTACTTATTTACTGAGTGCATTAATTAAAGGTGTGCACTGCTATTGCATTAGTTGTAGTGAGAAAGATATAACTTTTTAATGGGCACTGTTTACAACCCGTATCCTAGTTCCTAGAACGTGGGTCATCTTGAGTCCATAAGAGCCTTGAAGACTAGCATCCATTTAACATTATTTTAAAAATGTTGTAGTAACCGCTTTTAGTTTTTTTTTTGTTTCATGTAAATGCAGGATGTTTGCTTCGCAGCTTACCTACAGATCTTGTGTTTGACAATCCAGCAGGTGTCAGTTTCACATGCGCCTTGAGTGACGATATTCAAGCTCCATGGCCTTTGTAATCGTCTGTTACATCCTTCTCTCTTTGTGCTCCTTGTAAACTGCTTGGGAAGAATCATACTTGTATATTTGTTGCATGTGTAGGTTTAATGGATACAAAAATAGAAGAGAGTAAAACATAAAGTGCTGAGGGGGTGTTTGGGATGATTTACATAAGTATATTTTTTGATTTTTTATGAAAAAACGTAAAATATAGATTGAGTTTGAAGTGATGTGTTAGAGAGGTGATGTGACCCAAATAAGATGATTGTAATCCAAATAGGATAATATGATAAAATAGCATGCCAAACACCCTTGAATCTCTAAATGTTACGTTTTTGGTGTGTAAACATCTGTGTTCTTATGGGTACACTACTAATTTTGCAGAGATATTGTTGCCTGCACTACCGACATCGGAGACTTTGGGAAGTTTTGGTATGTGACCATTGCTTTCTGTAATTGCCATTTCTTTTTGCCTCTAAATTTACATTCAATGATGTGTGTTGCATGTGAGTTACTGATTCGTTTAGGAATTAACCGACCAAGACCTGACCCATTCCTCATTTTCAGGGGTCTTTGTCATTAATCTCTCTCTCTCTCTCTCTCTCTCTGGTATACTGTAGTTTGTTTAGTTAAGTTGGAACATTAAGCTTAGACTAATATGAAAGGCATCAAATGAAATAATCGAGGTTCTATTAAATGAATGCAACGAAATGCAATTTAATGCCTGCTAAATTACTGTTATGATTTTGGCACACCCCATGCAAATGAAATCAGTCGTTTTTGGATTGCTACTTTGTTTCTTGATTTCAATTCTCTTTTGCACGGTAATAGGTCTCCAGAAAAGATATTCTATACGTTCTGCATTTGGTTATCTGTGTGTGTATGTGTGTAGTGATTCCATTTTAAATGATATACTTCCACCTTCAAATGCCGGGTGATGCTATGGTACATTTTGGTGTACCATACATTTAGTTATGAACTTATATGATTTTATATCATAACCTATACCATATTAGTCATAACTATCACCATATTAACTCATAACTTAGTTATATTCAATTATTTACTTATACCATATTACTTCATAACCAGGTCATAACTAAGTTATTAAATAATTTTTCTCTTAAATTAGGCAACCGGTGTACCCGGTTACCAAACAGAGCAAAGTCAGAAGTCCAACAGTCCCGAAGCCAGTTGGCCTCCCTCTCTGGGTCGTGCTCTTGCTCTTGCTCTTGCTCTTCTCTTCTCCTCCCTCCTCTCTTCCACCATAGCTGGAGCTTCAGCCATTGCCGAAGACCACCAGCCCCGTTGGCGTCGGGACCACCACTCTCTCAGTGTAACCTCTCACTCTCTTGACGTCAAGAACTAGAGTTTCTTTCATTCAAATCGAATATTTCCAAGGGATATTTTCTGTGGCTCAGGTTTGTTTCTAACTCTAAACTTCATTTACATTAGGGCTTTTGATTTGAAAACCCTAACCCTTATTGAATATCTGATATTAAGTTTGGTTCTCAATGAAAATTAAAATCTATATCCAATAGTTGTGCCACTTTGATTTCAGAACTGAAGAATGAATATTTGATATTAATTTTTATGGATGGTTTAGATCAATGGGTGTTCCCGCCATATGGATGATTTGTCTGTGTTTATATCAGTATCTACTCTCTGTCTTCCTTGCTCTGTTTTTGTGTTTTTGAGTTATATGGTTTGAGTTATACGGTTTGGATTTGGATTACCCGTGTGTGCAGATTTTATTATGTGCAAATTTTATTATGGTGTGTGCAGATTTTATTTTTGAGTTATTATGGTGTGTGCAGATTTGAGTTATGATGGTTTGTGCAGATTTTATTGGATCTTGAATGCTTATTGAGTTATACGGTTTGCAGATTTTATGGTGTTTTATGGGTTGGGGTTTTCAATTTTCCTTTCTTTTGTATTTTCCTCTGCTTTCTCGTTAGCCACACACACACACAGAAGATGTGCGTGAGTGTGTTGAAATCAAAGGTATGATGGAAGAGTCTGACAATAAATAAATAAATTAATTAAAAAATATTATTGTCAATTTTAAAATTTCGACAATATTGAAGTTTTTTTGGCAGTCATGGCAAATCTTTTGTGCATGCTTTAGTTATCTCTTTGGGGTCTTTGTGCATTTTGGACTATTTTTGGATTTTGAATTTGTGAAGCAATTTGTTGAGAGAAAATAATAAGGAAGAGATTTTTGTGAAAAAATTCATTCTCTATTTCATTCACAAATCCCTTTTTTTTTCTTTTTTTTTTTTGTGAAGATTTTTTTTTTCTTTTCATTTACAAATCTTTTCACAAATCCTTTTATTTCTTGCAAATTCATGGTATGTTTATGTATGCCTCATATATACTTACATTTACATCACTGTTGCTTTCTTGTTGGTGCAACCCAATTGAATTTGTTGTAGAATCTGCAATGGTTTGTAATTAATGTCCATGAAAAACAAATCATAACATTTTAATATATAATAATAACATACATTTTCGTTCTAATTTTAAAAACGTTACTAATGCATGATGGATAGACACTCGCATGTTTGTGGCTCCCATTTTGTGTGAGATCCATAAACATGTGAGTATTTGTATATCATTATGTGATTTATTTTATATCAGTAGTATTTTTTAGTCCTTAATCTTTTGAATAATTTCGTAAAAATCTCAAAACACAAGAATCTTGAAAATTGTTGTGTAGTGAAAAAATAAAAAAGTGAAATGCCAATTAAATATAAGTTTTAAATTTCTTTTCTCTTTTCTATTCTCTTCTCAAATCTTTTCAAAATTTAAAATTCAAACACAACTTAAAAAAAATTAAATTCGCAACAAATGATAGAGAAGGCAGAGAAACAAGGACCTGTTTGGGTTGTGGTTGGGAGAGAGCAATTAATGCTTCCTTTCTAATCAGTGGGACAGTCACATACATCATTCTCAACCAAACATGCACCTCCATGGAAACAGAAAATGTCACCACATGGTGCCCCTGCAAGCTCACAGTGCTCTCCACTATGCCCTGTTTGGCACTGGCATTTATAACTCTCACCCTGCACTATCTCCTCGCAAGTCCCTCCATTTCCACACCAAAATGAGTTAGTCCCATCACACATATTTCCTCATCACAAAACCTCCCCCTGTTAATCAAAACAATAGAACACAAGAAGTTCCATGATGTTTCAATTCCATGAATCTAATCAACTAAAAAACAATGAGCATCAAGTATAGAGATAAAATTCTTTCTTTTAAAAAAAAACTAATAAAATACAGTACTGACAACTAATAAATTTATTCTCAAGATTTTATCATTTAGCGCCAATTACTTTTGTAACTCTTTCGAAGAGACAATACAAATGGCTTATTCTACACTGTAGGATTCACTATTTTATCCAATCAACTTCAAATTATTGGATTTGCTCATGGAGCAAAATACAATTTCTCCCAATTTATAGCTCTTGTTGCTGTCCAATCTATATATCTACATCTATAATACAAAATGATACATTTCACCCAAATCCACCTGTTATCACTGCATCATACTTGAACTTTTTAATTATTATTCGTAAAACAAATTTCAACTTTAATTATTAATGTATATAAACTTTACTATTAACCTTAATCCTTCTTTCACATAACCATGCATTGTGTGTTTCATTTGCATTTATACAGCATTCAGTGCATTAGGAGCTATTAAAGTGTTTTTAGCTATGACATGTACTTAAATAAAAAGTGAAAATATAATTTTGGGTAGAAGTCTTTGTAAAGTTAGTGTCAATTTTTTTAGCTACAAGCCATGCCAATAGGAATCCTATCAATTTAGTTGCTATATATTCCCAAGTGCTTAATTCTTCTGGTTGCCCAGCAAAAATCAATCACTTTCTTGTCTAATCTAAACATACTCAAGAAAGTGATCGATTTTTGCTGGGCAACCAGAAGAATTAATACATGGAGATTTGATAAATGCCAATGCTTTGATAAATGGTTGAGTTTAACTACATAGATGAATCAATCACTGCACCAGAAAAAATAGTTTTGAGATTTGGATAAGATTAAGTAGGAAAGGCAATGGAAGCCTACTTGAATAAATTTCCACATTAGTAGCGAAGTAGGTCACATTTACCGACCAAAACAGTTTAGTAGCTAATACGTCTTTATTTGGCGACCAAATAATGTTTGGTAGCTAACGTGTGTACCATTGGCGACCAAACAATTTTTAGTAGCTAATGTATACCCCTTTGGCGACTAAATTGAGTTTAGTTGGCAAAATTAGTCGCCAAAGCTGTAATTTCTTGTAGTGTATGTTAGTATGAAGAAGGCATAGAACGAAATGAAATTACTCTTTCTCATGCTACTTCATCTGCATTGAACTATTGGCCAGAGTGAGGATTTTGCTGCTGGCACAGAATATTTTTTGAATATCCTGCCCTTGAAAACTAATACATGGAGATGTGGCCTGACCAAGGTCCATATTCTGCATCAATATATCAATTATTATCTGCTAATAGATGCAGTCAGAGTCTTTCATTTCTCTTCCTCGTTCATATGTGTAGTTCAATAGATGATTGAGATCAACATAGTTCAGTATTACAATATTGATCCTCATCCTTGCTTGGTTACACTGACTGATTCCTTTTTCTCTAATCTTCCATTTACTTGTGCTCTAAATTACATTTTCATCATCCACAGATCTAAGACTAAAAGTATAAGGTCAAAGTTAAAAATTGTGACCTTTAACCAATTTTGTAGTAGTGCTCATATATTAGTATTATTTATTATGAATCTAAAGTATCAATGACAGAATAAATATAAATAATAAAATCAAATAATAAGCATAGCATTAATACAAGAGAAGCTCTATTCACAACCCAAGATTCAATTGTGAGTGGCAGTGGGTATAGTAGTATGCAAGGGTCCTTAGTGCATCAAATCTTTAGTTAGTGTATGTATATTACTGAATACAACTGTATCAAATCATTCTCCCATTTTCTAATTTCTTGTATTTTGTATTCTAAAAAACAAATTGCTTTCCTAAACATTTATAATTTTCAAGTGCTTTATGTGGTTCAAGCCATCCCCAAACCCATGCAGAGAATAAAAAAAAAATTAGCAAGATAAAATATGGGAAAATGAACCACAACATAGCTAAAACCAAAGCAAGTAAAACCAGTTAATAAAGATATTCAACCTTCTGACTGTACACCTAAAGTGAGACTTGAAGGAGCAAAGGTATACATAACCATGACATCGTTTTTTATTTTTTTCTAAAATAGTCCCAAAAATAAAATAAAAAACAATGTCGTTTTTATTATCAATTCGTATGGTGCCAAAATATTTGGCTCCTTTTTGCGACAAAAAAATTTCCTTACCAAATTACAAATTTTGTCCAAAAAAATTAACTTCTTTACTCTATTTTTTATGGTAATGTGACCTAAACTACTGGGGTATCATTTTTTGTTTATGATTAGAATTTTTTTTAGTGTCTTTCCTTTTTACATTGGAAACATAGTCTTTGTTAACTACATTATTATAAAACAAATCCATTCATGTGTGCATGTCGTGCATTTGATGAATGTACTATAACCTTTAAGATTTTTGTTTGTTTGTTTTTTTTCCTAATCAAAGATATTATGAGTTTATTTTTCTTGTCTTTCTTTACAAGGAATTCTGATTGAAGCCTAATGGATAAGCCGACTGATCCTCCAAAGCGCCCGATCACTCCATTCATTTTCTTTTGGTATTTCATTAATATCTATTTGTATGTAGTTATATATTTTCCATTATACGAATTCTTATATTCATTTTCATATGTTTATAGCCAAGAACAATCAATGGAGTTAAAAAAAACCCAAATGAAAGTAGACGTGAAGGTAAGTGCAACGTATTCTTGTTGTTTGTAGTATTCCTTTTGTACTTGTAAGCTTGTATGTAATTGTTCATATGATTTTGTGCATGTAATGTAGGATATTAGGGACAAATGGAATCAACTTCCTGAAGAAGAAAAAAATAAGTATATACAAATGGGAAAGCTGCAATCTGAACAATATGCTCAATTAAAAACTGTGGTCCAACAAAAGCCTCCAAAAGTAAAAATTCAAACCTGGATTGAGCTTACATCAATTTGTAAGATTATTAGAAGGTTGGACAAAGCACAACAACAAGCAGTGAGTGATATGGGGTTTCATGGCATCCTAAGCCTTAGGTGCACACACATAGATCATGACTTGTGTCATTGGTTAGTTCAGAACTTTGATCCTTCAACTCATTCATTGAATGTCCACGGCCTTCGAATGCTTCTCACCGTAGAAAATGTTCATGAGTTGATGGGATTACCTTCCAATGGTCTACCTGTGAAGTTAACAGAGTTCGTAGATGAAATTGCAAACCTATGTGATGAACTTGCGATGAAGAATAAATTTGTTCCGTTCACATCTTTGAAATCTTATCTGCTTGAAACAAAAGATGCTGGAACTGAATTTAAAAGGAAATTTGTCTTATACATCATTGGAGCCCTCTTGTGCCCCACCACAAAGGCAGGCGTACACCAATCATTCATTAAAATGGTTAAAAATGTTGAGTCCATCAGTCAATTCAATTGGGCAAAGCACACCCTTGATTTTCTTGTCGACCGCATTGCTATTGCCAAGGTCAAAGAGCGGTCTGCTATGTGCGGCTGTTTGCTTCTTCTAATGGTACTTCCCCTTGATGTGTAATTATTTCATCTATTATTTTTTATTGTATATTGTCTAACACACATTAAAATGACTTCTTTTTTTAATTTTTTTTTTCCATGTAGTTATTTTACTTGGAACAATTTGCTCGCAAAAGGGAGTTGGTGGCTATTTCCAACTCCATTCCTCGCTTATCCTATTGGGGCAATTCAGAAATTAAGCAGGGTTTGAATCAAATTAAAGCTTTGGGAGAATATTTAAATGTTGAGGTAAATATTTACAACACATGACTTTTTATAATTATAGCTCAATTTACATTACACCTGTGACATTAACAAGTTATTGTATATCTATGAATAGGTGGCTTTGCCTAACATTGGTGAAAAGTCCAATGTAGTAACTCTTAGCCAGGGAAGAATTGACAAGAATGATGACTCCCGATTGGCTAAAGTTGAGAAACAAGTCATTGAAATTCATGCCCTTTTGGTCCAAGGCCACAAGGACACAAGGCAAGATGAGGATGAGAAACGTCTAACCAAAGTGGAGAATCAAGTTGAAAAAATTCTTGAGTTGTTAGAAAAACACATGCTAGTTGATGGAGAACAAGTTAAAACACCACCAAGCAAACTACTTGCGGAGCAGCGACTGGTCAAAATGGAGAACCAAGTTGGTCAAATTCTTGAGTTGTTAGAACGACGCATCCAATTGATGGTGGACATGTTAAAACACCACCAAGCAAACTACATGAGGAGCATCGAATTGACATTGAAATGGTTGGTCTCGATGATAGTGGTATCGAAACGGTTGTAGCCAATTCCCCGAAGTTTGTAGATGAGGATGAGATAAGGAATATGAATGACAAAAAACCAATGGAAACTTTGCATTTGAGAAAAACAAAACCGATCCTCACACCACCAAATGCAAAGGCAGTTGCAAAGAAACGAGCCAAATTGGTTGGTGGGAAAGCATTAAATAATGAACAACTTTCTATTCCACAAAAGGGGCGATTGCGCGCAAAAAATAGCGATACAAAGGCAGTCGAAATGAATGCTGTAACAATGTCATCATCATGTAGTGTTGTTCGTGGTCCTCAGACTCGAGGGACCCAGAATTGCAAAGCCAGTCAGTGGTTGCATACACCTTTTGTGAAATTTGATTAAAGAAGAAAAGACCACAGTTGAAGCCATTGTCAACTGACAACAACGTTGACAATAATATTCATGACAATCTCGATGAAGTAAGCTAAATGATTGTGTCTCAAAACATATTTGATATATGTGTAACAAATAGTGTTTGTTTCTTACTTTTCTTTTACTTGTATCAGCTATTTGATAATTTACTTGATCAACTTGGGGGTAATGTTGTTCCTGAAATCCCAAAGGTTTGGAACTAACTATTATAGTATCTTTTGTATATGTGGTTATTTTGCGCTAACATACACTAACCATCTTCATGAACATACACTAACCAAGCTTGATTTGTTTTATGCACTATTCTTCTCAATACCTTTACAAGTCATCCGTGCCTTTGCCAGACCCATTAAATGACTATGACAGTCTCGTTCTACGATATGCATTTGATGAATCACTTTCAGAATGGTACAATTTGACTACCTTTAACTTGTTATGTATGAAGTACTATACCTTCTAACTCATATAGTTATCCATGTGCTAGGGAATATCTTGTACGGATGAAACTGCACTACGTGGAAGCACAATCTGCCACGCGGAAGGAATTGTGGTCCTTGAAACCATATCAGTGGATATCCTCGTGTGTAAGACTTTTCTCCTTCTCCTCTTTTATTTGCTACCATTCCATCATCCAAGTTACTTTACTTTGCCTATTCATAAATTTCATATATTTTGCACTGCAGATTATAAATCTCATTGTTGTGAAATTGACAAATAAACAAAGGAAAAAGTTTCCAAATAAGGATCACAAGGTTTGGTGCTTTCCGACCCATGTATCGGTAAGTATTAGCCATACCTAAAGACTTTTTTTATTTAGGCACAAGTTATTTATGTGTTAAAATTGAATATGCAGCAAAAGATTTTGTGTCAACCTTCTGATGACACAATGAAAGATATAGTAGAAGATTATTTTGGAATTTACAGATACACTGGCCCCCTTCATGCTTGTGAGGAGGTAACATGATAAAATACTACTATTACCCAATTTCCAAATTTACCATGCACAATAACATTCGACGTTATATTTTTAGATTTATATGCCCTTCAACCATAGGGAAAACCACTGGTTGTGCTTGAATGTAAACATGGAAAAACGGGTTGCCTATCTATTCGACTCCAGTAGATGTATTGACACCGATGAGGATTGAAAAAATCAAGCTACATTATTGGTAATAGAATAACCATTATGATACCCCACTTGTATCCACTTTTTTGTTTCTTGATCTATGTAACTTACTACCTACCACCAACAGGTACAATCATTGCATAAGCTGCTTCAATATGCGCATGGAGAAGATTACGTTCAAGATGTTAGTTCGTTTGCATTTCAATGGTTGGAAGACATGCCACACCAAGACAACAAGTAATACACTACATTATCGTTCTTGATTTTTAAATAAGCATTAATGTTATAATCTCTAAGTTCGTTGACTCTATTGTTACAACTTCACTCATTCCTATAGCTATGATTGTGGTCTTTTCGTCATCAAATATATGCAAGGGAAACCTTTGCCTTCGGGTGTAATCAAGGTACTTACATTTATACCCAACTGTCCACTTATCAGTATCTTATGTTTTATGAAGACTAATTTTATAGTGTGTGATGTTTTTACGTACTCACTACTTTTGGCATGTAGTTTGACTATTTGCATAGGGCTCGCTTGTTACTTGATCTTGTGATATACAAGCATAATTCAGCTCCTATTGTTGGTGATATCGCGCAATATAAAGCTGGTGATGCTCTATTCTTTTTTATTTTTCATAAGTTCGTACAATCAATGACGTTATCGCATTTCTTAAACTCGTGAACTTTGAGTTTATAACTCAACCTTTGTTATAAAATTATATTCTCAAGTGTGCTACCTTGTGCAAAACTCAGAGCTAGGGGTGAATTGAAATGGAAGTAGAGGCTATACGACTTTTGTGATCCTGAAAGAAGGAAAGATAGTGGATAAAGTTGTGGGAGCGAACAAAGACGACTTTGATTTTAATTGATGTATTTAAAATTTGAACATGAATTGTTTCTATTCTTGGGTATGCAATGCATTTTTTTTTTATTTTTAATTTGAACATGAATTTTGCTTTCAAGCTTTAGTTTATTTATTAATTTAATATACATCAATTATTAGTTCTTAATAATCGTTTATGATAGGTATAAATATCTATCGCTATATTTAAATGTCAAGCTTAGCACAATTAAAAAGAAAAGAAAAGGCTATGGCAGCGTTTTTAAACGTCCCTATATCCCAGATTTATTAATTTAATATACATCAATTATTAGTTCTTAATAATCATTTATGACAGGTATAAATATCTATCCCTATATTTAAATGTCAAGCTTCACACAATTAAAAAGAAAAGAAAAGGCTATGGCAGCGTTTTTTAAACGTCTCTATATCCCAGCCCCAACGGTTGGATTTTTAAAATGTATAAATATCTATGACGGCGTTTCAAAAGCGTCGCTAAATATCATAGTGACGTCATAGTACCGTTAGGGTAGGACATTGGACGGCGTTTATTTTTCATGATTTCAAAAATAAAACTAATCATTTTTACTATTATGCAAAAACAGTTTTGAAAAATTCAAATAACAACATTAAAGTTTCTTTTAAAAAGTATTCTTAAAAAAAAAAAAAATGTTGTCCGTTTTCGTTTTTTCTATTTTCGAGAATACAAAACATTAAAATAAAACAATACCAAAGTGTTTTAGCTTGTGTCTATTCATTTTTCTCTAGGAACCATGCAAGAAAAATAATGTTTTGAAAAATTCCTATGCATTCTTCCTTGAAACCCAACTAGGTTGCAAACAAACCGAATCAAAATTTTGAATGTTTAAGCTCGTTTATTAAGAATTAGTCGAACTCAAGCTTGAGCAAGTTTTACTCGAGCTTCAAAAATTGAACTCAAGCTCAGCTCGTCAAATATTTGTTGAACTCGAGCTTGCTCAATTACATAAACGAGCCAAGTTCAAACTCGAACTTAAAAATGAATTAAATTTAAATTAATTTACTTATTAAAATTAAAAAAATACAAAATTATTATTAAAATATATAATAATACTTATATTAATAATAAATTTCAATTCGTTAGCAACCCTAAACCCAGCCCAACCAAACCCCAGTAAGAAATTTTTGCTTCTCATTTATTTTTTTTAAAATTAACTTTTTCCTTTCCTTAACAAATTCAAGAACCAAAAAAGATATCACAATTCAGGCTTCTCCAATTTTCCGTGGCTATATTATCTCAATCACTTCACAAAATAATTATATGTATCCCATACCTAAAATAAACGTAAAAGAGATAAAATATGGATAACAAAAACACATTTAAAAAATTCCCAGTCAAGAATAAATTCAAGATAAAATATGGCCATTTTCAAGAGAATATTTTATGGGAAAAAACGATCGAATAACAAGAATGGCAGAGGCAGCTACTTCTATAAATTAGAACAATACAGTGTGTGATACCAAATGACAATTTGGCCATTTTCAAGAGAATATTTTATGGGAAAAAACGATCGAATAATGACCTTCAATTTTCTATATGCACTTGCTGTTGTGCATTTGCTTCGAAAATGAGCAAAAACACTAAACAAAATGGCTTTATAGCCTTTGCTAGTGCAACTGTGGTCTAAAATTTATATTAAAACCTTACATATATATACATCTTAAAGAATTCATCCATCAACGATATTAAAACCACACACATATATACATCTTGAAGTGTCTTTTGATGAACCTGGACGGAAGATCAACAATATTGAAAAGCAAGTTACTATTGCAAGGCAGTGTAGGATTTTCTTACAACCTCATTTGGTGAATGATAATTCCTTACAAAATTCTTTCTTCAAGGAAAAAAGGAAGTGTGCATACAAAATATGAACTTACATACAGCAAAACAAATATCCATCAACCATCATTTAAGAGTATTTATACAAAATACTAACAGATTTAAGTCCTCGAAAAAAAAATTAAAAAAAATCTTAGTTTAGCTTCCAATATCACCCGTTCGATCATATCAACTATTACCCACAGCAACACCTGCAGAAACAAATTATATTGTCGTTAAGGTTTGTTCACTTGAAATCTATGATTCAAATCATAACAAATTGAATTTTGATATATTGGTCATTACACACTCTTTTGTCATTTTCTGTTCGTAAATTATTTATTTCCATAATCAAGTTGTAAACATCATAATCAGTTATGACATCTAAATGTTCTAGCTAAAATCTATCTTGGCATATCAAGAAATTAGAATTAAGCAGCCACACATAAAATTTGCAAAGCAAATGTAAACAAAATGAACATAATTTGAACTGAAAAGATGCCATAAAAGTAATCACCTAGAGATGTATCTGCATCAGTGAACGTTGAATTTTGGACAACTTGTGCATCGCAACTACGCAAGTCATTAACATCCTTGCTCAACTGCACTGGAGACGTATCCACATTAGTGACAAAAAGTCGTCTCTTCACAGGGTGGATCTTACATGGCCTCATATTATTCCTGGGACGCTTCGGTGTAAAAAGGGTGGGAGTACCAATTGGATCATAATCATCGTATTCCTCAAACAAATTGCTACCCACTTGTCCCGTTTTATGATCGTTTTGGGGGCAAGTTCTCCTCGTGTGGCCGACGACCCTACATTGTCAAGTAAATCACCAATCATTAAAAAGAACAAAAATGCCAAGACTACCTCACAATAAAAAAATTAAGACACAAAGCACAATATAATGTATACCTGCAACATTGGCATCGCCTTGGCTTTCGAGGTTTGGCCATGTAGGATCCCGCAGTATTCCCCTTCGTGTTCACTACTTTCGGATCCCCAACCCCAAATGGCGGTAGTGAACTTTTTCCTTTATCAACATTAGTTCCCTTGGCCATGTAAAGCTGCTTCATCCGACATGTCATAGTGAAAAATGCATTCCTAGCCTCTTCAAATCCTTCAGATGTTTGTGAGGCATAGTAACACATTTCAGTAAAAAGGAGCAAAGAACCCCAAAGCGTGTCTCCTGTGTGAGAGTGCTAGAGAATTGGGCTTGGCAATGTTGTTCACCAACCTTTCTTGCTTGCTTTGTCCAACGATGCATCACACAACCTGGGGGAATTTCAGTCATGTGTTCACATTTCATCACAGAAATCATATGGCTGCAAGGAAGTCCAAAGAACTCAAACCTTTTGCAACTACATTTCATTATGCTAGTTGAGGGATGGTATGACACTTCCCATGTGGAACCAAATTCAGTGTACTTTGAAAATTTGTATATGCGATGATCGAACTCCGCTTTCCTTCCATCAAAAATCAACAATGCTTCCTCAATTATTTCATTACGGAACATTAAGAACAAACGTCTGGTAAAGATGGTTGCTGCATGTTTCTCTAGAGGCTAAAGTGCTGTGGTAAGACAAGGATCACTATTGTCAGTTTTTGCCTCGGCATCCGCTTCTTTGTTCCGTAACCGATAAAGGGCCATGTCAAAACATCTAACAAATTCGAATAGTTTCATTTTTCGTTTGAGGTGCTCATTGAAAAAAGCATGCATACCCTCACAACGCTGATTGCTCTTCATTCCAGCAAAAAAATGACCACGCAAATATGACTGAGCCCACATGCCTTTGTTGTTGTAGGTGTCTGATAACTACTTGTTATTTTGAAGGCCATATTTTCTAACCATCTTACTCCAAGCTTCCTCAAATACAACCTCATTCGCATCAAGATCCATGAGATGCTTGAAATGTCCCTCGAATCCATCAACTCGAACATTTCGCTTGGCATTTCTGTGCATATGCTAATTACATAGACGATGCTTGGCACTCGGGAAGACTTTTTGTATTGCCTCACGCATGGCCATATCCCCATCTGTCAACATTGACACCGGTCTTTTATTATCCATGGCCTCTAACAACTTCTGCAAAACCCGTGTGTATGTTGCAATTGTCTCATCAACAAGCAAGCTGCATGCAAATATGGTGGTTTCAAAATGGTTATTGACCCCGGCGAAAATAACAAAAGGTTTGTTATATGCATTCATTGTATAAGTTGTATCGAAGACCAACACGTCACCAAATGCAGCATAGTCTAGGCGAGACCTTGAATCTGCCCAAAACAATTTGTCAAGCCGATTCTCTTGATCCTTGTCATACTTGTAAAAGAAGTAAGGGTCAGCATCAGCTTTTACACATAAGTAAGCCAAAGCACACTCCGCATCACCATCCTTCATTTCTACTTTGCGCTCGGCTTGAATATAATTGTGCAAATCCTTGTGAATAAAGCCCACGTTCGCGAAAGACCCAGATTGTTGCACCAACAAATCCATTATCTGGCTTGTCTTGACACCAACATCGTGCAAAGTCTTTACTTGAGCTTTGTCGAGGATCTTTACAAACCTATGCGACCGAAGAAATGGCACACATGGTGATGTTGCCAATGGATGGTTATGTTCCATGTTAAAGTGAGTGACAATGTATTTGCCTACATCCAGATTGTACCTTATGCGGAAATGAGCATCACAACCAACTCTAGTCAATGCCCTGGAAGCTCTTTTTCGATCAATACGGGCCAAGTGTTGCTTTGCTCTTTGGCCTTGCCTTGAGCATACCCATTTTCTACTAAGAACCTTTGTTGCCTGCATTGTTCACGTGTCTTTCCTAATGCTAAATCCCACAACTTTAGCATATTGATTATAGAAATCATTGGCATCCTCTTCTGAATTGAATTGCATTTCAAGAACATCATTCTTGGTTAAACTTTGAATAGGGTCATTTGCATGGGAACCTAATTCTTCTTTATTCCCACAAACTTCGTCATCTTCAAGCTTGCGCTCAAATTTGGTACATCCAAAAGGATCCATGATAACTACATCAAAAACAATACGAAAAGAATAACATTATCTTATAAAATGAATGAAAATTCCTAAAATCACATAAGAGAATTTTTAGGTATTTGGATTGCTCTAAAACACACCTGCAAGTATAACGTTATACACTGTCCAACTTTTCATACCTTAATCTATGTAAGTATCTTTTAGTAATTATATATGCAAGCAAAATTTGTATATCGAATAAAGGAAATAGGAAGAACTCATCATTTCGCTCACATTTTTATCTTTTTCTTTTAAAAAATTTTTTTTTATAACAAATGCTCTATGTAAGTATCTTTTAGTAATTATATATGCAAGCAAAATTTGTATAGGAATACCGGGATCGCTATAGAACTCATCATTTCGCTCACATTTTTATCTTTTTCTTTTTAATTTTTTTTTTATAACAAATGCAAAGTTTTGGATATGTACAATGACACAATTATATATAAGGTACTCAGGCAATAGGTTTATTTTTTAATCTTTTGAGTCGTTATGCCCAATCTCTAATCTCTTTGGACTAAAATAATACAATTTGTTCAAAAGGACAACTATCTGTTGCAATCAACCCATTTGTCTATCTCTTGAAATCATCTCATTTCTTGAAATCATCCTGTTAAAATTCACCAAAGCTATTTTCTTATTTATTGAAATTCAGCAAACAATCTATTTGTTGAAATGTGACACATGTCACTCTAGCGACTTTTTCAGCACCAATGACTTTTCCGACTTATCTTTACAACCAAATAAGATTTTTCCTTAGATCTAATACCTTATACACCTTTTAGGATGGACTTTCATCAAATTTTTCTTATGAAGGATTGAGTTTCTCTCAAAAATTCAAAAAAAATTTAGGACCCAGCCCTGTCTACACTTTACATTTTATATTCCTGACACTGTTTTGAATGCCTAGAGTTTTCAGGGAAGTTTTCCCACATTGAAAAAGACTTTAATTATTCTAATGTCAAACATAAAAGTCATGCGACTTTTGGAAAAAATTTGAATAGTTATGTCCAACCCAAAAGACAAACCTCACATGAAAAGTGATGAGATACCAAATTTACCAAAAGTCATAGCCCTAAAATAAACTAAGACATAAGGGTTTGAATTTTTTCAGAGCCAATTGGTCAGTGTACAAAGTATGAAATGAGTAAAGTGAAGGGGAGGTCAGGAAATCTATGTCATGGCAACAGTTTGTGGTTGTCGGTGAGCCAACTCTTCAACTTGGAAAAAAGCTGAATTCCCATATAACCAAAACTCTGTCCGTTTGCTTTTGTTGGTATATTTGAAGTTTAAAGGGCAAAGAGCTGCTGTTTTTGATGTGTTTGTGTGTTGTTGGAAGCTTCTATGACTCTCAAGATGCTTTTGAGAGAATGAGATAGTTTATATAGATAATTTACAAAGTTATGATACCTACTTAGAAAAAATAATTAAAAAATATTTATAATTTGAATGTCTGATATAAGTTTAACTTGGTTGCTCAGAAGGAAAATGATTTGCAAATAATTTCTTTTAAGAAACTTATACTCACTTCTTTTTGAGATTTAAAAAAAAAAAAATGCTTAACTTACATTTTTAACATAATTACATTGGCGTCCCATTTAATAATGTTAAAATGACCGAAACTAATATAGATTGTAAGTAAGCACTAAAATAAACAATGATAAATATACACTTTAGTTAGAAAAAAGTGAATATTATATTTTCATTACTGACAAAAAAGGGCTTAATTGTTATCTAAATTAAAATTTCAAGGGAAACCAATATAATTATATCAAAAGTGTGGAACTAATTGTATTTTTTTCAATTCTCATGAGAGTTGAGTGTAATTTACCATTTCTTTTAATACAAAAAAACTCTACTAAAATGATGTGGCTATAAAATTTTTGATAGCAAATAACTAATCAAACTTATAACTTTATAGCAAAGAATTAATAAAAAAAATAAAAATAAAATGAATTTTATTTCGACTATATATAATGATAGTAATTAGAATTCACAGAATTTTTTTGACTTATCCTCCTTGTACAAGTTAAGATCTATTCTTCAATATCACGGAACGTCTTTTTTTCTTAAGACTTCAATAAAAGATTATTTTGGAAAAAAAGGAATAATTCATTATGAATTAAGACCTAAGAAACTTCGGAATTCTGGACTAAATCAATGGAAAAACTGGTCAAAAGGTCATTATCAATACCATTTATCTCAAATTAGATGGTCTAGATTAATAGCAGCAAAATGGAAAAATAGAATCAATCAATGTTGTACAATTCAAAATCAATATTTAAACAAAGAGAATTCATATGAAAAAGACCTATTAATTCATTACAAAAAACAAAATGACTACGAAGTATATTTATTACCAAATCAAAATGAGAATTTTCAAAAATACTATAGATATAATCTTTCATCTTATAGATCTATTAGTTATGAAAATAAGAGGGACCCATATATTTATGGATCACCATTCCAAGTAAATAAGAATCGAGAGAGTTCTTATAATTACAACACACATAAACATAGGGGCAAATTTTTTTATATACTAGGGGATATCCCTATCAAAAATTATTTAGGAAAAAGTGATATTATGTATATCCCTATGTAGACGTCCCCGAACGCCCTGGGAGGGTGAGCTCCCGTTCTGTTCATTTAAGGGGTCACTACAGCTCGGATTCGATTTGTGTCACGGTTCTTAATCTTGAACCAAAGAGTCTGAATCTGGCAAATCGTTTTGAGAAACAGATTTTGAAAAGAAGTGCCAAACATGGACTGCTTTGCCAGATACAGAGTCGCCACCTAAATATTTTTTATGGGGGAATTTAGGAAACCCTGACTCGGTGCCGAAGGCCACATGTCCGTCATCACCGGAGTTGTCTCGGCTTGGGAGCTTGGGTACGATCGGGGAAGGTCAGCTATGAGCACCCCCTCTCGCCCGATCCGAAGATCGGCCTCTACTAACCGTGATATCCATTTTTGAAAACTTTATGTGTTCTTATTCCATTTATTAGCCTAGAATTACTATGTTATGCGCACAGCAAACAAGTATAGACTAGATTGCCTAATTTGGAAACAAGCATTGCATATCCGTTTGTTTTGAAAAGTGCTTTGGAATTTGCTACTCGCAAGTAGGCTAAAACCCGGATTTCAATGAGTTTTTCCAACTCAAACAATCCAACCTTCACCCACAGGCATTCAAACAGTTTATCACATAAGCATCTAGCCACATGGTAAGCATACTGTTATGACAGCATTCACACACATGCGATGATGCTAAAGCATAGATACTTACATCGTACTCCAAGCCAAAACAATAAACTGGTTAGCAAACATGCGTGATCCTAGTTCATGTCAAATTGACTAATGCAACACATACAGGATGCAATTAGATAGGCTCGGCTAATCTACGATGACATGCGAAATGCTACAACTAACACGTATTCAACTTGGAAATTGAAATACAGATGCAGTTAGAATGATGCGCCGAGCCCGGTGCATGCAAGACAAATGAATGAATGCATGCATGCATTGCATGAGGTATGCTAATTTAAACGTGCCCTAATACTAACCATCAAAGCAGGTAAATAAAAGGGAAGAAAGAAGTGGGGATTGGAAGACATACACGCCACTCACACACACTTATTACAGATTTGCCCTCGCCCGGAGGGACCAAATAAATAATACAAATTAATTAACTACACAAGCTAATTAAATATTACGAATTTCCTAATTAGCTAACAAACTAATTAAGCTAGGAAAAGCAGTAAACCGCCTCGGGAGGAGAGCCAGATGTAGCGCATGCTCGGGTCTTGCTCGGAAGTGCACCGCTATACATAGTCTGCCTCTGTTTCCCCTGCTCTACCTTTCTGAAGACTGCCAAAGTCTCAAGGATGCTTCTTTGGATGCTGGGAATCACCACCGGCTGAGTAGAGTTACCACCGCCAGTGAATTGTGGTCATCGGCACAAAATTTATCCATCGGCTGGTGATTTACTGCCGGTCGGCAAAGAATGCCTGCAGAACCTGCAACTCACAGTAGCGGAGGACAGAACTTGCATGGCAATACAATTCAAGCAATGTATGCACCAATCATGCCCCCTATCATGTTTGTAACTCAAAAGGACATGTGTCTCGATTCTCGGACCACCAATCACGCATTTCCATGCATGATGGCCCAAAGAATCAAGTGTGCAACTTTCATGTCAAATGAAATGCAAACCAAACAAATGAACCAAGGCCTAATTCCTATCACCAAGTCAAGGAACAAGGCATGTATGCAAGATGCAATGCAACCTAGGCATGCAAGCTAAGGATGCAAAATGGCATGGCAAGACACTTATGCAAGCATACAAGCAAACATAAGGCAATGCAAACCGATGAAAAGGTGGACTTATACATGATTTAGGCAACTCTAAATAGGCCTAAAACAATGGCCAAAGTAACCAAAATAAAGGACTAAACACATGCACACATGCACATGTTAAGCGTCAACACTTAGGCACAAATAGGACAACTCTCAAACACATTTGAAAGAAGGTAATCATGGACATATGGCATGCAAGGTAAGCATTGAAAATCATGTTAAAACATGGTGCCAAACCAAGCAACAAGTCAAGCTAAACATGCAACAAATGGCCCAAGTGCTTGAAGCAAGTCAAAGGGGCTTGAACCATGACCAAGCCAACCAAGCCAACCAAGCCTCACAAGGCTAAGGGGACTTAAAATAGGTCCAAGGCAGACCTAGACCGTGCAAAGGGGACCCCCTAGATGGCATCT